AAGATGGTATCTACATTAATCTGGAGACGTGTCAGATTACTGTAGTTTGTTCAGTCAAACATTTTATGGCTTACTATTTAGTTATCTTACCATTACCGACGTAACATCGTATGTACATCATAAACTCCCAGTCTCTTTCTTGCTGTACATCGCAACCAAAAAATCTTGTCAAATCAACCAAATCATTACTGTAAACAGTTCCATGAATGCTCCTATCTCCAAGACTTATAGTTCACAAAAAATAACTCTTGCACGCCTTGCGTGCCTATGTTTACGCTTGCAGTTGTGAAGGAAGCCCATGTACTTTGGAAACCCAAACAAAGATAACTCGTTTATGAGCATGCAGTGAGCGAAAAAGATCAGTTCCAACATATATTCATCATCGACTTTACTAACTTTGATGCCCAGAAAGCTGGAAATTGTATTTCCAAGAGTTTAAATTTCAAAATTTTCTGGGGGAGCATGCCCCCAGAACCCCCTAGGAAAGGTGGCCTAATGCACACCTACCAGTATATATTCTTAGCTGCCTACTTTTATACTACTACATCTGTAACAGATGTCTAACTTCAAATCTTATTACAAGTACTGTAACTGTGCAGATTTTTAAATCGCCATACATTGTAGCATAGCTCAATTTGACTTGGTGAAATGAAAAGCAGGCATGACTGGTGAAAAAGCTTTCAAGCCCAAAACTCTATGTTTTCAATTACAGTAACTGCAAAAAGTAAACACGACAGCAAAGTTTGCATCCACATGCATGACAGTTCAGAAGCTTTAAAGTCAAATATTTTATTTTTTGGATAAAAAAAAAAGCCAGAGGGATAAAGGTCCATGTTCAGGTGCAACTGTATTCGTGCACATGCATTTTCCCAGTATTCTATCCAGCAGGCAGACAAACATAATCAATGTCAGGATAACAGGGTTGAGGGGACACTTTTTGAGTTTTTGGGCAAGAGTGTGCCACTGTCACCCAAGAACCCTGAATTTTTTTCAGGTTTAAATTTCTTAACTGCTTAAGCTGTGTGTATAACTGTGATGATCAATCATGTCTTCATATCTTTCTCCGCAGTTCAAAATATAGGATCTTTCATATGTTGGCTTCTATCTATTCCCCTGTAAAAGATCTGACATAATTAAATAGCTAATTTAGTCAACAGAATTTAAAAAAGGACATACTGCATGGCTTCTCGTTGTTTAGCTTCCTTCTTTTTCTTCTTCTCTTTTTTCCTTTTTCTTTTCTTCTTGGAAGCACTTTCTGGTTTACTACCTGATCTCCTGGTCTCATTTATTGGTTGATTTCCTTCACCTTCATCTTCCTGCATAAGCAATTATATATGCAGCTCATTATAGCATTAATAGATGATTTAAAGTAATGAATTCTCCAATCAAAAAGGTTGAACTGCGTGCAGAACATTCAAAATGAAACCCTTGTGAACACTCTGCACTTCTGTTATGTGACTTTTCTTTTAGGTTTAATTTATGCCACAGCCAAGTGACAACCTGATGACACCCAGTAGAAGTAAGGAAATCAACAGAATCAATTTTCCTTATAACTTTGTTTCAAATCGATCTTTTTTGGTGTTTTTTCTTTTTTTAACTTAAGGTCTCAATGAAGATAAATAAATGAAATATCTTTTCGATGAAGTTGTCATGCATTTTTGGGGTACACTGATACCTCACGCTCTGCACTGAGTGTATAGAGATTCTTGATAACAATGTAAAGAGTATGCAGGAACATACTTCTTTAAAATTCTAATTTTGTTGATCTTGGAAAGTGAAATAATAAATTTCAGTGCATTTACAGATTGCGTGTCAAAAATACCTCTGAGTCCGGGCCACTAGAGCTTTCATCCATCTCAGTTTCTTTTTCAACCCATACATCCTCTGCTCCTTGATTTATCTGCATGTTAGCATCTGGGCTAGATGAGCTGGATGTTCCAAGCAATTTCTCTGACTCACAAACACTACCAACCTCAGCCATAGTGGATTTCTTGACTATTACATACATATGTAAGTCAAAAAGAAGTCACTGAATTATAACATACAGTAAAGTTACATTTTAAGTTATGGATGGCGAACTACAGTCAAACTCTATTAAGTGGTTACCTTTTAAGCGGCCACTCCTTAGTAAGGCACTAGTTATCAAAGTTCCGAAATTGTTGTCAGTAAAATAGTGTAAATACAATCCCTGTTAACTAGCCACCTCTATAAGGCGGTCACAGCCACTTTTTGGTCTTTCGGATTCAGTTTTCCTATTGTGTGGTTCCAGAAAATATCTATACCCCCCACAGAGGGTTTTTTCCAGTTTGACCCCCCACCCCCCAGGATTTTCCATTCCAGGGGGCTTCACAGTACTCCCCCTACCCCCTGGAATTTCCATGATTTTTCTACTTGGGGCCCCCCCCACCCCTCAGAAATTCCGTATCCATAAAAAGCAAGGTTTACCTCATTAATTGTAATAAAATTTAGCCGCAGCTGTTTATAGTTACATTGCAGACAAAGACGTGCTTTTTCACGGTAGACTGCAGACGTGGCGCGTTCCTTCATGTCATATTAAAATGTTTGACCCAGTGTTTAAACTAATAAACAACTGACTTAGAAGTGCTTCATTCCCAAATGGCATAGCAGCTGACTTTTTCTCCATTAAAGGAAGTTTTCATATAAGAATCTCAGAACGTACATGAAGCTCCTTCAAATAACCGAGTCAAAGTTTTAATTTATGCATGGTCAAAACAACATATCGAATTACTTTCCACAAGCAGTAAAGTTGTCATGCAACATTTTTTTCAAAACAGCTGTTTCCCAAATGTGGCTTTATTTTTTTCTTTCACCGAAGGAATACTTCAATTAAGTCATCCGCTTTGCCTCTGTAGTTTGTAAATGATAGTGAATTCATTCTATGCCTTAGTTTTTTGAATTGTCATACATTTCATAAGTGAAACACACATTGTTCAGTCGGTCTATAAATGACCGAATGAAATCTTGGCTACCGCTCCAATTACAACGCTCCTCGCTGTCCACGTTTACATATATAGTTCAAGACAAATGGCTTTGAATCGACTTTGCTCACTTAAAGCAAACTATTAACCACAGATAATGATGAAAATATGTGATAACCTAGTTACGGCAAGTCCGAAACGGGGAATAATTTTGTACGAGTATCAAACGAAATCAACAAAGTATGAATCGCATTTAATTGATGGCATGATTAATGCTGGAAAAAGCATCTGAGCTGCATTTAAGGTCAATACAGCACGATCTCCAAAGTATAAAATATCATCAACTTCATTGTTCATGTATTACTGCACCTCTTCGTTGGCATTTTGTTCAACTTGACATCCAACAAACACGATACTCAGGATTGCTGTCTGTCACACGACGTGGGAAGAAAACTGGAAAATATATGACAAAGAACCTAACATTTATTTCTCAGCGGATGGAACATTTCTGTTGGTTTGGTTACCTGAATCAATTGGGAAAGTACAGTAGTGTTCATTCAATCGCATCTCAGACCCACTGGAAAGAAAACTCCTTGAGTAGCCCCCCTCCCCTTCGGAAATTTACCTCTTTCAGACCCCCCTACCCCTCAAATTTCTGTGACCCTCCATGGAGGAGGTATGGATACTTCCTGGAACCACACATTTTCTTTACCCCTTTCAATTAAATGGCAACCCAAAATTTAATACACGTAAATAAACTTTGTTTTGGAAAAGGTGATGGCAGGTAAGAGTCTGAAATAGAAGGTGATAAGTGATAAAAACATTCAAGTGATAAAAATATTCACGTGTTTATCATGACTGTCTCGACATGACTCCACGTTCGCTAAGAAATTAACCCGACGGCAAAAAATATTCAAGGTACACCAACCCCTATTAAGAGCCGCCCTCTGTAAATATCAACTAAGATCATTTGAAGAAGCTCGTCATAAAAGGGGATAAGTGACGATTTTGGTTGCTTTTCTTTCTTTTGCTCCAAATCAGCTGAATTTTTGCATGTAGTATTCAGTGTAATAGAAAAACGTGTTCCTGTATTTTTGCCGCTGGTTTTTGCTTCGCTTTATAAAGACGCCGCTAGGAAAACCGAGTGGTTTTTTGCATATGCAATATCCCGAAAACGAAGCAAAGTTTAGCGGAAAAACTCCTGGACATTCAATGCTAAACATACCTAAACAAAACTGCATGCGAAATTTGAAGCATTTTCGACAAAGTTCACTTTTGATTAAAATACCTAACACCCTTTTCCCGCCGAGGCTGCAAATAAACGAAGCTGGGCCTTTGTTATGATAAACAG